TGGCTGCGATATATCCTCCTCCCTTACCCCCCAGTTCTGAGCGAGGTGTCCGGCGATGGCTTTAAGAATGCACAGACGCATCCCTTTCAAATGTCCCTTTGAGGTGATGTTCCGTAGGAGCTGGCTCAGCCTATGGAAATTGTCCCTGGAAAGTTGCTTTCCTGCTGCCAGCCTTCTTAGCGTGTTTTTAAGCCAGTCTTCCTCTGAGTAGAGTGGCCGCTTAGCTGACGTAGAGGGAAGGGATGGGGAGGGGGATGGAGTTGGAGCTGGGGCCTGGCCCTCAGTTTCCCCCATTGGGAAATCGTGAGTCTTCAAAAACCACTTCCACCTGCCCCCTTCAGGAGCCAGTGGTTTAATGATAAGAGGAGGTAAGTGTGGCTTGAGCTTATGGGGGCCTTCTGGGATCCGGGTCTCTAAGCCTGTTTCCGGGACTTGTGAAAACATGCCCCTGGCTTTCTCCAGAAGCATATCCTCTTGTCTTGTCTTAAAATGTGCTCCAAGTTGACTCTCCTGTCCTTCCAAATCCAGATGACGCCGTTTCAGCGCCCTTCCCTCTTTCCCCCCCAAGGCTTCTGGGAGTTGTCCGTTCAAGGGGCTCTTTACAGCCATTGCTGGCACCACCTTCTCGGTAAGTGTGGGGTGTCTCTTCCCGTCAAGCAATCTTTTTTTCTTAGAAGGCATTTTCCCTTTCGCAGTACCCTTCTTTTCCTTGGCAAGAATCTCACCTTCTCTTGCTGTTTTCGAGGAGCTCACTTCCGCCTTCCAGGGTTCTGTTTTCAATACTGTCTCCTCTTCTGCGCGTGTTGCCCCCATAAGTCTGTGCTCCTTTTCCGGCTCTCCACTCCACACCACCCGCTTCTGCTGCTCCTCCTCCTTCACCGAGGCCGCCTCCGCTTCCTCTTCTCCTTCCTTCTCTTCCTCCACCTCTTCTACTTCCTCCACCTCTACTTCCTTCTCCACCTCCTCTACTTCCTCCTCTACTTCCTTCTTCTCTTCCTTCTCCTCTTCCTCCACCTCTTCTACTTCCTCCACCTCTACTTCCTTCTCCACCTCCTCTACTTCCTCCTCTTCTTCCTCTTCTACTTCCTTCTTCTCTTCCTTCTCCTCTTCCTCCACCTCTTCTACTTCCTCCTCCTCTACTTCCTTCTCCACCTCCTCTACTTCCTTCTTCTCTTCCTTCTCCTCTTCCTCCACCTCTTCTACTTCTTCCACCTCTACTTCCTTCACCTCCTCTACTTCCTCCTCTTCTTCCTCTTCTACTTCCTTCTTCTCTTCCTTCTCCTCTTCCTCCGCCTCTTCCTCCACCTCTTCTACTTCCTCCACCTCTACTTCCTTCACCTCGTCTGCTTCCTCCTCTACTTCCTCCTCTACTTCCTTCTCTTCCTTCTCCTCTTCTACTTCCTCCACCTCTACTTCCTTCTCCACCTCCTCTACTTCCTCCTCTTCTTCCTCTTCTACTTCCTCCTTCTCTTCCTTTCCCTCTTCCTCCATCTCTTCTACTTCCTCCACCTCTACTTCCTTCTCCACCTCCTCTACTACCTCCTCTTCTTCCTCCTCCACTTCCTCCTCCTTCTCCACTTCCGCCTCCATTTTCTCCTCCACTTCCTCTTCCTCCTCCACTTCCTTCTCCTCCCCTACTTCCTCCACTTCCTCCTCCACTTCCTCCTCCACTTCCTCCTCCTCCTCCACTTCCTCCTCTACTTCCTCCTCCACTTCCTCTTCCTCCACTTTCTCCTCCACTTCCTCTTCCTCCTCCACATCCTCCTCCTTTACTTCCTCCTCCTTCACTTTTTCCTCCTCCTTCACTTTTTCCTCCTCCTCCACTTCCTCCTCCTCACTCAAGCTCTCCTCCTCACGCACACTCTCCTCTCCTTCCTCAGGCAGGCCCTCCTTATACCTCTTAGCCCAGTCCTTCAGCTTCTCCTCACTGCGGTGCGCCTTCTTTTTCTTTTTAATAGAGTATTTCTCTCTCTCCTTGAGCAGAGTCTCTTCCTCCTCGCCGAGGCCCTCTTCCTCGCTCCCCTTCTCACTTGAAGCTTCCTCCGTTTTCTTCTCAAGCCGGTGCTCAGATGAGCTCTCAAACAGCACATCTCTGATAATTTCTGGGAACTCCTTTACCTGGATCTTTCCTAGTATATCCAGAATTCCCAGAAGCTGCTTCACCTGCTCTTTTCCTAACAGTGTTTGCTCCTGGGCCTTCTTTAACACCTCCTCTACCTCAAATTTATCTAATAGCATCTCTTCCTGGACCTTCCCTACTAATCTTTCATCCTCTGAGCTCTCTCCTGCAGCTGGGGTTCTCACTTTGGTGGCCAGTCTGTCTAATTTCCTCCCTTTCCCAGCCTTGTCTTCTTTGGTTATTTCCTCCTGTTCCTTAAAGAATGGCCACCTCTGGTCATCCGTTTCACTCCTTCCCATGAGAGCTCTCCCTTCCTCGGGTATTTCTGCCAATGTCTCTGTTCTCATTTCTCTTACAGTTTCAGTCAGGATCTTCAACAGGTGAGTCTGTTTCTTCCTCAGTTCCATTTTTCTGGAACCAACCCCCTTTTCTTCAGTACGAAACCTCCTTTCTGCCCTTTCTTTCTTCCTCAGATCCTTTTCTCTGGGGCCAACTCGCTTTTCCTCAGTACGAAGCGCCCTGTCTGTCCTTTCCTGCTCCCTCACGTCCTTTTCTCTGGAACTAGTCCCTTTTTCTTCAGCAGGGCGCCCCCATTTCCGATCCATTTTCCTCATCGCCTCTGTTCTCTCCTCTTTGCTGCTTTTCTTGACAGCCTCTCTCTCCTTGGTCCTGGTGTCAGAGGCCAGTGTTCTCCATTCCTGGGTCAATGTATCTTCTTTCATCATTTTTCTCTCTCTCGGAGTTAATTTTTTCTTTCTGCCAGCCATCCTCATTTCCTTCAGAGCTGCTGCCCTTTCTTTCTCAGTCATGTGCCTCTCTCCCTTGTCTTTCTGGGTCAGCCTTTTCTCCTTGGCCTCCAGCTCCTCTTGTCGGGGCAGTTTCTTTTTGCCCTGGGCCCACTGGCTTCTCTGCTTCATGATTTTCTCTTTCCCAACCCATGTCTCCCCTCTCTCACCTTCTTTCCCTTTTCCCATGGCCTGCTCGCCTTCTTTTTGGGATACTTCCTCCATTTCCTCTCTCTTTTTCTCTGCTCCTGGCACCATTTTTTTTCCTTCTCTCGCCCATTGTTTTTTCTCCTCGGCTGCTTTCCCCACTTTCCCAGTCCATCTCTCCCCTTTCTGATCTGCTCTTTTTTCTCCCAGCGCCTGTTGTCTCTTTTCCATGGCAGTTTCACCCCCTTCCAGGGCCCTTCTCTGCTTTTCCCTTGCTTTCCTCACTTCTTCCTGGCTTGGTTTGGCTTCCTTCTGTACCAATCTCTCTTTTATCCCCAACTTTTCTTCCTCTTCGAATCCCAGTTTCTTCTTTTTCCCAACTAGTAGTTGCTCCTTTTCCTCCTTTTTCTCAACCTGCCGCTCTTTCTGGCCTTTTTTCTCCAGTTGCGCAACGGTTTTCTCTTGTTGGTTATATTTCTTTTTATGAATCGCTTTGTTCATCTGTACTAACCATTTTATCTTTTCTTGGGCCAATGCAAATGTCCGTTCTGCTGAGCTGGCCCCTCTTAATGCCTGTCTTCTCTTGCCACCGAACAACTGTTTCTCTTCTCTAGACACATTTTCTTCTTCCTCAACATCCTTCTCCACACCCCAGATGTCTTTCCTCCTTTCTTCAGCTTCTTCCTTTGTGTCCAGGAATAGTTCCTCCTCATCCCAAGCCTGTTCCTCTTCTTCCCCTTCCAGCCCCCCCTCTTCTTCACCCCGTGCCTCTTGTTCCCCCCTGTCCAACCCCCTCCTTTTCAGGGTCGACTCTCCCTCTTTCCACAGCACACTCGCTCTTTTCTGTAATAATCTCTCCTCTTTTTCAGTCCATTGTTTTCCTCTTGGAACAAACCTCTGCTCTCCCTCAGTTAATTTCTCCCATGGGAAGGCCAGTAATTTTTCTTCCCAAGGCATTTTTTCTTCTCCGTCCATCAGGTTTTCCTTTCCCTGTGTTAATTTCTCCGGTTCACTTGGTTTCATTTCTGTCACGGTCATTTCTTCCTGCCCAGCCGGTTTTCTTACTTCCTTTTCAATTTTCCTTTGCTCTAAGGCTGTGAGATCCAATAAAGCACCTTCCTTTTTCTTGTCTACTTCAGAAAATGCCTTGTCTTTTCTAAATTCCTTTTCATCCCTTTTTTCTTTTAATTCTACTTCCTCTTCTTCTTCGACAGCTTCTTCAACCACTTTTTCTGTTGTAACAGGTGATTCTTCCGCCATTCTGTCATCCGATTTTGAGGACTCCTTTAAAAGGGGGCAGATCTCTTGGAAGAGAGCCCAGCTGGGCTCTCGGGGAGCAAGTGTCATCCGAGCCAAATCCACCAATTCTTGATTCAAATTCCTTAACATTCCTGGATGGGAACTTGATATCCTTGAGGTGATAAGAGAACAAATGTCAGCTCGCCAAGATGTGCTTTTTGGTCTAGGTAACTGCCCGGGGACCCCAGCCACACCGTGGCCATGCATCAAAGTCTTCTTCCCTGTGCCTTTAGGCTCGATGACCTGTGTCACTTCTTTCGTGGACTCTTCAGCAGTGGTCTCTGAACTAGCCCTACTTTGTTTTTTCTTTTTCAGTAGTCGAGCTAATTTCTCATGTTCTTTTTTTATTAAACTTTCCAAAACACTTTTCATGTACTCTCTTCTATCCCTGGGGATTAACTCCTCAAGTGTTTTCACATCATGCTGTTCTCTGACCTTCATTACTTCCACGGCTTCCACTGCCTCTTTGATCACTGAGGCTTTTTTGACTTTTTTGGGCGCCACTGTGACCTCCTTTGATTTAGTGTCCTCTTGGGATTCGACTGGGCTGAGAGTAGTTAGTGGCGGCTCTGGCTCTAAGACAACATCCCGTGTGCCCATCTGCATTGATTTACTCGTTTCTCTTTCTTCTTCATCCTCTGTGGGTTCCGTCACAGACATCGCCCTGATCGATTCTTCCTGTTTCCAGCCCTCTTGAACTGAAAAAGAAGAAAACAACAAGACAAAGCAAAAAGTCTGTGTGTGTGTGTGTGTGTGTGTTAGGAGAAAAATAAGGAAGAAAAAAGGGGGATCCTTTGTAATATCTGGCTGGGCGAGCTGCCATAGGTGTGCAAAGACAAAGAGGACTGAGTCTTTGTGGTGTGGAAATGTTGCTGTTTTATCCCAGCTTCCACATCCTAAAGAAACAAGACCTTGGTATTTGCTGTGGAGTAGATCTTTCCCAGGGAGTTTCCTTTCTGTTAAGAGGATTCTCCTTTTTTTAACTCTGACCCCACTGGAATCTTTTATATTCCTAGGCTTCATTGACCCTCCCTTTGGGCCCGTGAGGTTCATCCAAATAAGACCCATATATTACCCATACGTACACAATTTCCTGCTCTTTCCTTCAATAAATTTCATTCTTTCCTTTAATTTGTCTATCCCTTCAGATTGTATTAAATGTCTAAGTGTTTGTTTGCCAAAGACCTCGAGTTTACCGGCCCCTGACATATTCAAAAAGTGCTGGCAGGGATGTGACAAAGTCAGGTTTTCATTCAGGCACTGCTCCACCTGGGCAATCAGGAGTTGGATATTTTCAGCGTTGATCCCCAGCAGCTGATCCAGAGAGAATTCTCCAATAAATTCCTGCCTACAAAAGTCATGGAAAATAAGGGTAATATTGAGCCAGTGACAAAACAAAATTCAGAGAAGAAGAAATGAGAGGAGGAATTACATTCTACAAAGCAGGGATAAAGTAGCCATTCAGGAGAGAGTAGGATAAAGCAAAGGATGGATAAAGGAAAAAGAATCAGTAGCAAGGAATAGGGGAGTCAGGGTGACAGAAGATGCTTCTTAGATTGAAAGATTGGTGGATTTAAGTTTTGAGGAACCTTAAGGGGAGTAAGGAAGCAAAAAGGTGAGCTGGTCATGGTCAAAAGAATAGGGATAGGGGCCACTCTGGTGGCGCAAAGTGTTGAGCACAGCACTGTAAGGCTGTCAGTAGCCTCTGCAGCACGAGTTCCATCCCCGGTCAGCCATGGAGCTACCCACATGGCACAGCAGATCTCTCCTGTCTTGCCCGCTGCTCCCCTCAGCAGTGTATTTCAGTCAGTCTGCCTGTTCTGCTCCCCTCTCTGTTTCTGGTGAATCTTCTCACCCCCCGCACCTCTGGCCTGTACCCTGGATCTTGTATGCATAAATAAATAAATCTTAAAAGAAAAAAAAAAAGAAGGCGTAGACACTGGGAGGAAAAGTAAATATAACAAAGGATGTGGAGCAAGGAATAACAGATGTGGTGGAAGGCCTACCTGGTGGCACAAGGAGTTAAACACAGCACTGTGAAGCTGTCTAGCAGCCACTGCAGCATGAGTTCAATCCCCAGCCAGGGAGCTGACCCACATGGCGCAGCAGACCTCTCCTGGCTTTCCGCTGCTCCCCTCAGCAGTGTATTTCAGTTGATCTGCCTGTTCTGCTCCCCACTCTGACTCTGGTGAATCCTCTCACCGCCCCCCCACACACCTCTGGCCTGCACCCCAGTTCTTGTATGCATAAATAAATAAATCTTTAAAAAAAGATTAAAAACACAGGCATGGTGGAAAAGGAGAAGGAATCTCATTCTGGAGGCTAGGAACTAGAAGAAACAGAAGAGGGAAGGCTGCCATCCAACTCACTGTAATTCTTGCAGAGTTTCTTGTTTCCTCAGCAGGGCTAATAGCATGGTCTTACTTTCGATGCCTGTGACCCTTATGAAATGGTGTAAGACTTTACCCCGCACATTCTTGTCTTCGTCCATCAACCCCATGGCCAGTGGAACAGCAAAAAGATGGCTGGTGAAACCTAGCCGCTCGAGCCCCTCCCAGCTCAGTGCGCGGATCTGGGGGTTGGAATCGGCTGTGTCTTCCAGGAGACGACACACAGCCTGCATCTGCAGCCCCGAAGGGATGTGATAGAGGGCGAAGAGCTTTTCCAGGATGTTAATATATTTCTTGAATTTCTCCACAGAACAGCTAGTTGTGAGGTTGAGGATGATCTCAATTAAATTACTTATAAATTCATCATTAAATTGTCTTCCTATCCAATTTTGTTTTGTCAAGTTCTCAAGAATCACAGAGTAGGCTTGTAGAGAAGACGTGACTTTATACCTTTGTTTGCTCAACAAAGTGCTCTTTTTTGCTAGGGTGGTCATGAGCAGCCATATGTGTTTGAAGATCTCATCCATGTCCCTGTCCTTCCCTCTGTAGGCTGGGTCCACACCACAGCATAGTACAATTGGGGTGCCCTCCGGCCAGAGGCGGGCACGGATCACTGAGTTGGGGATGTAGCCATCAGGAGTAATGGGCCAGTGCCGCCCTTTACCAAAGAACTTCTGTAATACGTAGTAGGGGCTGATGCCATCCCAGCCAGCGATGTGCAACTGAGCTGGAACAGTGCGTGGGGGACGAGCCCTTGTAAGGTCAACAGAAGACAAATTGGGGTCCTTATCCTCCACAAAGTGCAACTTGGGCTGCTCTTGAATCTCACAGGGCACACGTCTCTCTTCCTCCACAACGTGAGGCACGATGTTGTCAAAGGCAATGACCCGTTTGTTAGCAAGAGCCTCAAGTCCCCGGAATTCCTGCAGCCCTTGTTCCAGGTAGACAAATTTGGGTACATTCACTGTTCTAAATGAAAAGAAGAAGCTGGGCAGAAAGGGCTTGGGGACTTCCTGTATGTCATCTGCGCTGTCTAGGGTAGACAGGAGAGTCAGCTCTGCGTGACGGAGCAGTTTCAAGCAAGATACCAGGTAGAGACTGTGGTTGAAAGTCAAAAGCAGGTCACCTCGATTATTGGCAAAGCAGAGTGGGCCAAACTGCAAGGCGGACTTCAGCTCAGTCAGGAGCCTACCCTGGAAGTTCCAGAGGCGGACTCTGCCGTCCGTACCCGCCGTGACAAAAAGCCTCAGGGAAAAGCAGACGTCAAACGACACGATGGCACACTGGTGCAGGCTCTTTGTCTCTTGAAAGACCGAAGTCTGTTTTGATCTTGAAGACGTCATAAAATCTTGGAAGTGCCAGAGACGCCAGCAGTGGTTCTCCGTGATCGCGCCCACTGAGTCTGGCAAGAGAATCACGTGTTTTAGGGAGCAACCGCAGAGAATTTTCATAACAGGCTCCAGGGTTACCTTGTTCTCCTGAAGCACAGCTTCTGTCAAGTACAGGGTGTTGTCTATGCCGTAGGAGCACAGCAGGGGGCTCTTCTGGGGCCCCTCCAGGGTTGACAGCGCCAACACCGCCCCGGTGTGCAGCGTCTTCTCTATCCGGGCACAGCTGTAGTGGGAGAGGATCCTCACAGTGCCACTGTCATGCCCACAGAACATCAGTCCTTCCAGGCCCTTGGCCAGACGGGACTGTCCGTAGGCCAGACATCTTACTCGATCCCCGGGTTTTACCGACGTACACACGAGATACTTGACAGGACAAGGAGAACGTGTGGCGTCGAACACCAGCACCTCCGGACTGTGGGTTGCCACGAAGAGCTCCTCTCTGGCTGAGTCATAGGCCCACACCTTCGCCTTCTCCATGACCTGCAGAGGCCACGTGACCACCAGGAGCTCCCCTGTCACTGGAGACAGGAAGCGCAACAGGCCGTCCTTGGTGGCACACAGGATCCGGGTCCAGTTTCGGCCGCAACAGACGCGCTGCATCTGCTGGGGAGCAGAACCGCACACATGGAAGAGACTGTAGAAGTAGGGTAGGTGGTGCAGGGAGAAGGCGCAGCCCGTCTGGCAGAAGAAGGTGGTGTTGTTGATGAACTGCAGTCGCCGCAGGCCTTCGTGGATGGGCAGCTGCCGCAGCAAGTTCCCAAAAGCGAGATTCCATTCCTTCACTAGGCCCTCCGCGCCTGCCGTCAGCAAGGTGTGGGTGTCCGGCCGGCTCTGGATGCAGACCACCGATGAGGAGTGCGCCTGGAAGCTGTGGAGGAAGTTCCCCTGGGTCAGCCCCCACGCGTGGATCTCTCCATCCTTGTTTCCAGCATAGAAATAGCCCCGAGGGACACAAGTGAAGGAGCAGGTGATGGGGGACCCGCTTAAGGGAGAGAACTGCTTCACCTCTTTCAGCTGCCCCTGGCCCTGGTGGGTGAAGACCCTCACCTTACTCTCACAGAAAGCCAGGATGGAGCCCTGGGGGCCGTTCAGGGAAAAGCCCTGGACAAACTCGTAATCAGGCATGGGCACTGTTTGTGCCATCTGCAGGCCACTGCCGTTTGGTAAGATAAACCAGGTGACCACGGCCCCCACGGTGCCAGAGAGCAGCACCTCGGTCTCTGAGTCAAAGCAGAGGCAACTGATGAAGAAGTGGCAGGGCACGGTTCCCAGCAGGGTGAATGCCCGTTGGTGGTCCCCAAAGAGCCGCAGGCACACGTCGTCACAGTAGGCAATTAGCATGTGGCCGGGGCCCGTGTGGACCATGGCTTGGATGGGAGGCACTTGATCCAGCACATGGAACTGCTGCTTGAGTATTCCTTTCATTTCTGCGTCTCCTTCCTGTATCCAAAGTACTGCCTAGAAGAGGGGAGAGGAGAGCCTGACCATGGAGGCAATGATGCCCCCAAAGTAAGAGGTGGAAGGGGCCTCCCTGGTGGCCTAGAGGTTAAGTCTCAGTCCTATCAACCCTAGGGCCTGAGTTTGATCCCTGGCCAGGGAGCTGGCCTACATGGCACAGCAGATGTCTCCCGTCTTGCCCGCTGCTCCCCTCAGCAGTGTATTTCAGTAGATCTGCCTGTTCTGTTCCCCACTCTGTCTCTGGTGAATCCTCTCACCGCCTCACCCCCACACCCCCACCCACTGGCTCACATCTCTGGCCTACAGATCTACGTGCAAAAAAAAAAAAAAAAAAAGTAAAGGTGAAGGACTGCATGTTTAGTTCCCTCTTGCAGTACTAAGGAAAGACTTGACAGCTCAACTCTGGGCATTTCCTGTCCTATGAATTGGTGTGTGATAGAAGCACCATACTGAAGAGGCTCTTTTCCGGGCCTTCCGTTTACTCTCAAGTGAGTGTGGCTTCTACAGGTAACGAAGGTTAAAGAAAGGATGTGGAGATGGGTATTGAAATGGGCTCACTCATTCTCAAAGAGGGCAGTTTAAGTAGGATGCATATAAAGCAAATGAAGAAGGAGGGGGTCAAAGATGGGACAGCTTTACCTTCATTTCTTTTGTACTTGGTTCCATCCAGTTTAAAGAGACAAAATAGTTGACGTCGATGGAGTAGAAACAGATGAAAGTTGAGAACTGGGGCTGGTGAAACTCCTTGTACACAGTCTCAGGCCAGTCACTCAGTACACGCACATCCTCATCCTTTGGTTTTCCACCAGCCTGAGAAAGAAGAGGGGCCTGAGCCAAGGCCTTAAGTACTTCTCATTCACCCAATCAATATTTATTGAGGGGGCCTCCCCTGGTGGTGCAGCTGTTGAGCGCTGGGCTGTGAAGCTGCCCGCAGCCTCTGCAGGGCTGGTTTGATCCCCGGCCACCAGCAAGGGTCCCACATGGCGCGACAGACCTCCCCTGCTGCGCCCGCTGCTCCCCTCAGCAGTGTATTTCTTCGGCAGTCTGCCTGTTCTGTTCCCCGCTCTGGCTCTGGTGAATTCTCTCACCCTCCCGTGCTTCTTTTTTTTTTTTTTTTTTAATAGAGGCATGTTTATTTATTTATTTATTTGTTTGTTTGTTTGTTTGTTTGTTTGTTTATACATGCACTGGGTACAGTCAGAAGCACAGGAGGGTGAGAGATCCGTGCTTCTGACTGTACCCAGTGCTCGTATAAATAAATAAATAAATAAATCTTAAAAAAAAAAAAAAAAAGAAGCAAGCACTAGTGTCCTAAGGTCTCCCACTTACACGATGAATTAATTTCTCCCCTTTGCATCTGGTATGCCCCTCCTTATATTATACAGTCCTTAAAGAGAATTGAGAGAATAGCCCTTCAAGTAATTGAAAGGTTCGGCGTGGTCCAGGGACGAGAAGGCGGCCCCGGCGCCAGGGGACACGGCCTTCCCGGGTTTTCGGCACCAAGATGAAAGGTTCAGCGCGGTAAAGAAAAGGAGAGCCAGGCTACATTTCTCAAAGGGAGGGAAAGTTTATTGCGCCCCGGGCGGACCTCACGCACCCAAGGTGGGGGTCAGTGAAGCCGCGCACGTTGTTAGGGGGAAGCAGGGTTTTATAGAGTGAGGAGAGGTCAGGTGGGTAGTTGGGCTCGTAAGGCGGGAAAAGTTTGTAGGGCAGGTAGAGGTTCTTTGTTTGAGAAGAGACTCGTAGGGGGAGGGGAGAGGCTCATTGTCTGAGTCCTCCAGGCAGGTATCCGCATTCCTGCCCCCCAGGTGGGCTTCCTGGTTGGCTCCTGCATTCCGGCCTCCTGCATGGACCTTTCAGTAATATTCTGTGTTCCAGAGTTCAGATGAGGAACCACACTTGAGGAAGCCGGATTGGCATATCCTTTGACAGATACTGAGGACACAGGGCTGAGCAAAAGAGACATGGCCTTGGCTTTCAAAAGATATAGGGTGGGGGTAGGTTAAATAAACCACTTATAAGAGACTGAACCATGAAACAAGTTCTCCAAAAGAAAGGAACACACACACACACACACACACACACACACACACACACACACACGTTTGCCCATCCAAGACAATTGCCTCTTCCTGTGGTGTTTGGTAGAACTCTTTAAAATTCCTGCCCATACCCAAAGGGCCATGCCTGTCACAATTGTATCATGCCTGTAGGGAGACTTGCCCTTCACAGACATAGAATGCCCATCACATGTGACAACTAGACCCTCTGGCACTATTAGTATGTGCATCAAAGAAATGTGTGGTAGGGCCTCCCTGGTGGCGCAAGGGGTTAAGATGCAACCTATGAAGCTATCCGCAGCCTCTGCAGCACAAGTTTGATCCCTGGCCAGGGAGCTACCCATATGGCGCAGCAACATCTTCTGTCTTGCCCGCTGCTCCCCTCAGCAGTGTATTTCAGTCAGTCTGCCTGTTCTGTTCCCCACTCTGTCTCTGGTAAATCCTCTCACCCCTCACACCTCTGGCCTGTACCCCAGTACTTGTATGTATAAATAAATAAATCTTTTTTAAAAAAAAAAAAAGAAAAAAGGAAGTGTGTGGTAGTCAGAATATGGACTTAGCTGTGCTTTAACCGCCCCCCCCCCATTCTGTATTCCAACTCTATGGGGTTTGGATGTTATCTATCAAGGGAGACATTTACTTTTTAACATGTCACGTGATAGAGCATGTACAATACACACTACCTTCCTGTGATGCATATTTAGGCATCACCATGATGTAAGTACTTGAATTCCTCATGCTGATTAGCCAAAACTGAGGCTCATGAAGATTACTTTTGAGGATCCTTTTCTTAGCACTTACTTGGGATATATACCTCTTGAATAATGGCCCATGAATCTAACACTCCATGTTGCTCTGCACCAAAATTTGTGTTAAGTTTCTACCTAAGTTGGAAAGTAAAATACTCAATCAAACTGAAATGTTAGTATTTCTTTGCTCAAAATACCCATCATGCCTGCTTCCTGCATCCACAAAAGGTTTGAAACAATAGTGAGGACAATATCATCAACTCAGATTTCTCCTCTCCCTCTCTCAATTTCAGATCTTTGTATGCTGAGAGAATACATAATCAGAGCAAGCTGGAGAGCTTCTAGTGTCCACTATCATTTCTGATTCAGTGACAGCCACAGTGTTAAGAGAAAGGACCCTGTAGGTAAGCTCAACCCTCTTCATTAAATCAGAAAACTCATTTATGTACCCCTCATTCCATTAGTTAATCACTTTTCCTTCCCTCCTTTCCAGACTTCATGTTTAGAAAGTTCATTCACTCAACAAAACAAAGCTTTTCAACAGAGGGACTCTAAAAACAATACTTTAAATCCAAGCAATGGATTGCTATCTGTGCTTGGTGCTACTGTATTGTTACTGAGCCTGGTCCTACTCTGTATCACCCCCTCTATTTCCCTCCTCCCCTACTTTCCATTCCAATAAAATTCTGATTTTATTTAGGGTGATTACAGATCCAGAAATTCTGGCAACATTGGAGAGTACCATGTTCCTTCAAGGCTGTGCTCCCTGACCACTTCTCTTCTATCCACTTGCAATTTCACAGATACTGGAAACGCAGCTATCTTGTTACCTATCTTGTAAGCTAAATATTAATACTGGTAGAAAATAAAAAAGAGCATGGTCCCTGACAACATGTAAGATAAAGATGCCTCCTACTTGTTTAATCCATCTAAGTCTGTTTCCTGGTTTGGGGTCTGTTTGTTTATGCAGCAGAACATGTTCTCATTATAACTAATGTTACCATTGGTTACAATGGTAACAACACCAGTTTTGTGGTATGGGAGGGCCCTTCCAAAGCTATTCACATCTTGTCCATGCCACAGCCTGCCTTGGCAGAGAGAAGTCATTCATCCAAGAGAATATTTCTCCTAAGTATTAGTGCTTCTTTCTTATATTGCATCACCTTTACATCCTTCAGGGTATTCTTTATGAGGAGTTTCAAGTCCTTCCATGCAGGAATAAGTCTAGGTGAAGATGGCAACCTTGTGATATCCTCGCTTTTTGTAGACATGTTGAATGAGAGGACCTGTGGAAGGTAAGAATGACTTAATTACCACATTTGGTGTTAGGCTACTAAATACTCAGGGAATTGAGTTAGGGAATAGCAACAGGACTAGAGAAGTGGAGAAGTAAAGTATTCCTTTACTTTAGAAACAGGAGAAACTCTCTTATTTCAAAAAGATAGGAGTGAGATGACACTTGCATAATGTGCGTGAATCTCCAAAACATAAGTAGAAGCCAGAAACCAAACAGCACATACTGTATGATTTTTATTTATATGATATTCTAGAAAAAAAACACCTATAGGGACAGAGAGCCAATCAGTGGTTACCTGGGGATAATAGTTTGGGAGGGTTGGCTGAAAAGGGATAAAAGAGTAATTTGTAGTAAGGGGGATGTGTTTGACAGTGGTGGTGGTTATATGGGTGCACAAATTTATTAAAGGTCATCAAAACAGGCACTTACAAGTGGGCACTTCACTACATATAAATTATATCTAAATAAATAGATTTTTAAGAGGATAGGAATGAAGTGGGAGTTTTATGAAGCATAGAAAGAGGAATAATTGCAGCAAAAGAAAATTGCTAGGTGAGCTTCAATGTGGCAGTTGTAGCATAGCTGAAATAATTGGAGTCTGACTTTCTGGTCCTTAGGGAGATGCAGGAAAAATGTTAGCAGAAGAACAAAGTTGTCAGACTAACGTTTTAGAATGTTCATTCATGTGGCCTGGGGCTGGATTGGGGAAGCTATTGCAGCAAAAGAGATGACAATTATAGATTCTGATTTAGAGGAATAGGAAAGGAAAAGCAAATGGGGAGAGCAATATAAAAAATATGGGGGTGGGATCTATGGACTGTGGTGATTAATTGGGTATAGACAGTCAAGAAGAGAAATCTAGAATGACTCCTGGGTACCTGGGCCTCACTCTCAATGACATTGGATGCATTTAAATGGGCAGAAGAAGAGTAAGAGAAGGTGTGGGGGTGAGACGGTTTGATTTTGGGCTTGTTAGAGTTTGGGGTGAAGTTTCTGATGAAGACAACTAGATTTGTGGGTCTGGAGAGCAGGAAAAACCTTTGGGCTATAAACAAATATGTGAAAATGACCAACTTAAAGGGACAGCTGCATCTGGGTATCTGGAGGAGAGTGTCCACAGGAAGCCTGCAGCATGAGGATACCTGGTACCCAGTTATTTATGGGGAAGCACACTAAAGCAAGAGCCTCTGTGGAGAGGGGATGTCCTCCAAGAAACAGGAGGAGAGCTTCATGAAGGTAGGTTTGTTGTCACAGAGACATGTATCGAGTGGATTTGACAAATGGCATCGGTGTCCTTAGTGAGAACAGTGAGTTTGGAGGAAGATTTTCAAAAGCTTGGGAATGAAGGGACAGAAGGGGAGAAAAAGAGAGACAGAGGGAGAGAGGTAGGCGAATCTAGAGGGTTAAGGACGGATTTTGTTTAACTTCAGATTTTCTATTATTAAGTTTTCATTATTAAATGGCTATGAAAGTCCCTCAATCAGGGCCTCCCTGGTGGCGCAGGGGTTAAAGACAACTCTATCAAGCTACTGGCAGCCACTGTAGCACCAGTTCGATCCCAGGCCAGCCAGGGAGCAACCCATATGGTGCAGCAGACCTCTACTGCCTCACCCACTACTCCCCTCAGCAGTGTATTTCAGTACATCTGCCCGTTCTGCTCCCCACTCTCTCTGGTGAATCCTCTCACCCCCCACACCTCTGGCTTGTACCCCAGTTCTTGTATGCATAAATAAATAAATATTAAAAAAAGGAAGTCCCTAAATGTTTACTCCAAATTTCAGTACTTATCTTGTTGAGGACCAGACAGGCAGCTCCAAGCTGGCACCTGCGGGCTACGGAGGACCACCTTTGGGGTTCCCGCCTCTAGCTGAACGACTCAAGGCATTTTCATCCAGGGATTTACCTCCCTTCAATTTCTACCATGAGAAGAGTTTAAACTCTTCAAAGTCCTGCATGTGACTCTTGAAGACAGGCTTGGGAGGACCAAATAACTGGCCCCTGTAGAGAAGGGTTTTTTGGTTTTGTTTTGCATTGTTTTTTCTGTTTGTTTGTTTTATGAGTTAATGAAAGTTTAAATGTTGGGAGCAGACAGCCACTATGGAGGGAAAATGAAAATGCAGGGCCTCCCTGGTGGCACAAGGGGTTAAGCACAGCACTGTGACGCTATCTACAGCCACTGCAAGCAAGACTTCGACCCCTGTCTGGCCAGGGTGTTGCCCACATGGTGCAGCAGACCTCTCCTGTCTCGTCCGCTGCTCCCCTCAGCAGTGTATTTCAGCAGTCTGCCTGTTCTGTTCCCCACTCTGTCTCTGGTGAATCCTCTCACCCCCCACACCTCTGGCCTGTACCCCAGTTCTTGTATGCATAAATAAATAAATCTTTAAAAAAAAGAAAATGAAAATGGAGAAGAGAGAATGGGCGCCTACATCAAACTCATGTGAAGAGAAATGATTCCCTCAAGTTCCTCTGGTGATTTAAGACAAGGAGCTCTGACTGGGGAAATGGAAAATGCCAGACACCTCTGTCTAAACCTTGGGCTGGGATTCATTCCTCCAGGTCTGCAGTGAGAGGCAGGCATTTCACTTGAACCCCTTGACCTCAGGGAGGACTGCTCCACTTTCCCCCTCCTAAATCTTTAGAAAAATAAATGGAGATAACTGAAATTCGAAAAGCTTTATAATGGAAAAAAATGCAATATAAATTCAGGGTGCTACTGTTGTGAGAAAAATGAAAGGACGTGCTGGGATTGAGGGAGCATGGGGAGAGGAAAGAAAAGTTTAGCATCTAGTAGACTTACATATAATCCCAGATTCTGTCAGTGTTTCCTTTCGATTTCTTGAACGGAACTAAGTCTTATCTCACAGTTGGCAGATGTCGCCACCAGCTCTGGGGGACCCATGTCAATCAATGCACATCTCGGAGCCGAGAGAACCTGTCACTAACATCACACAGCACCTCAGGCTTCCCCTGCCCCCCTCCTTTCCTCCTGGCTCGCACACCTATTCTCCACAGAAGGTCATGCGCCCCTAATTCTGGAAGAAACAGACTCTAGTCATGGCTTCTCACAGAAAGTGTGTCACTGGCTCCAGCATCATAATGGTTGAATCTCCCCTAACCCCCTCCCCCACCCAGTTACTTATGTGTCTGGTGACACAGCACTAAGAGTCTGAAAATACCACAGGAATGTGCCAGGTGCTGGGAGGCAAGCGGAAGGTGGTGCTCTGAGTGGAGCGGGATTGCTGTGGTGAGGCGAAGACGGCTTTGAAACTCGCCTGGTGTGACAAGAGTGGCTTTCTGAGGGCTGGCCATGTGGGACCACGGAGATGACTACGACACCACTGCCTTAGGCAGGAGAGGTGGGTGCCTTAGGAGGAATTTGATCTTTCTATATAAACTTTATTGCATGTTTACACACCAGGCACTGTTCATGCATTGCCTCCTGCACTGCCTTAAATCAGAGTTGACTTAAAATACAGTTCAATGTGAATTTAACTCCCAGTTAAATTTGAATTTCAATTAACATGACATGCTTGTGCTTAAGAATTCCTTTTTATTTTTTCAAACTGCGATTCAAACTGAACTGGTGTCCCCTATTTATTTGCTGAAAGGGGCAGCCCTACTGTCTAAACACTTCCCTGGCCACGCAGCTAGGGCCAGAGAGCCAGGCTCTGAGCCTGACACGAGACAGGCCACAAGTTCGCGTTGAGGCTCGGGCCTTTGTGACAGAGGCCCTGCTTCCGCCGGCTCCTCGTGGTAACAAAGGTCTCCTTGGGTCCTGTGCAATGCCAGCGCCCTCGCCCCACGACGCCCACGGAAATCACAAAAGCCAGCCCTATTATAAATACAACAGGGGCAGAAAAGAAGATGCGTCTCTGGTTTCTACCCCCCACCACCCGCCGCTCCCCCCCCCCCCCCCCCCCCCCCCCCCCCCCCCCATATAAGCTGCCGGCCTTGGGGGGTCCTGGGAGCCAAATGGAGGAGCCGAGAAGCCAGGTCTGGAGGGGTTGGCGGGCAGCTGGTGGGGAACACCTGAGCTGAAGCAATTGCTCCCTTCAGCCCTCGCACCTCTCCTCACTGGAGTTGGGGCAGGCCATCGCCATCTTGTGGGGGGGGGGGAGAGCGCGCTAGACACACTGCGCACGCGCACGCGGGCCTAGCTTCCGGTTTCCTGGAGTCTCAGTCTTGGGGAACCCCCGCCCATCGGTGATCAGGGTAAAGTGCTCACTTGCCCGGTCTTTCTCCAGGATACCTGATGGCTAGAGGGCTCATTCCCTGCATGCACCTCCCATCCAGGACCGATAAAATGGAGTGTCCGGGACCATCAGGACTATGAGGCCCACCTCACCCTTCCGTCTAGCCTGTTCCCGGGGTCCCCTGGCGATAGCGATTTAGATAGTGATGAAGGGAAAAGATGGAAGCCTGAGATGCCTCTGGGCATGTAGCCCAAAATGCTTGGGGGAAGCTTTCTGAGTTTTAGTTACCCTTCAGGTCAACCCCATCCCCATGTTACCCGCAGCTACTAATAGATAGGAGTGGAGCGAGTCTTGGGGAGGTCTGGGAACTGTACCCTTAACTGTGCTCCGAAGCTTCAGTAGCTAGTGTGCCATGTCCCTAACTCTTTGTGTTTCCTCTCTCCCACTACTTCAGAGTTCCTGAGGAAAAAGGGGGAGGCAGAATTTGGGGCTCCAAGCAGGTCCTGCAGAGAGAGGGTGCTTTCCCAGCAGGTGGCACAGGGTCACCCTTCTCCCTAAGGAGCCAAGTGCACCTGGGCCCAACCCAGAGAAAAGGGCAGTGCCGCCCTGGTCCCTGGCGAACCTCAAGTGCTTCTTATGTTTCCTGGTCTCACACTGTTGTTTTGCTGCTACTATTGTTTTGGTTTTTTTGTTGTTGTTTTAAAAGATTTATTTATGCATGCAAGAACTGGGGTGTAGGCCAGAGGTGTGGGGGTGAGAGGATTCACCAAAGACAGAGTGGGGAGCAGAACAGGTGGATCTACTGAAATACACTGCTGAGGGGAGCAGCAGGGGAGACAGGAGAGGTCTGCTGCACCCTGTGGGTAGCCATGGATCGAACTCATGCTGCAGTGGCTATGGATAGCTTCGTAGTGCTGAGACTTAACCCCTTGCCCCACCCGGGAGGCCCCCACACTTAGCCTTAATTTAATATTTTCTTTATAAAATATATTTTAGGTTTACCCATTTTTATTTGTTTCCTGGGAGAGCTTTTCAAGCTGACCTTGCAACTTACTCATTTCTGAGTATAAGTTCCTACTGTCTATCTATTTTGTTATTTCAATTATCAAATTTTTATACCTCAGTTTCCCATTTGGTACTTAAATTTATATTGTGTTATTCATTGCAGATATATTTCCTGTTTTCTTAGGAATATTTATAATATTTAAATGCTTCATTCAAATAGTTCTCCAACATTGATGTGCGATCACCCACTCCAGCCTCTACCTCAGGCCCTCTCCCATGGCCCTCCTCCATCCAAGTGCAAGTCCTCCACCTGCTTATCAGGACACCAGTCATTGAATTTAAGTCTACTCTAGTCCAGTACGACCTTATCTTCATTTGGCTATATCTGCAGAGACCCTATTTTCAAATGAGGGTCATATTCACAGGTCCTACAGTTTAGGACTTTGATATATCTTTCGGTGAGGGTGGGGACACAAATCAACTCAGTTTGTAATACCTCTTCCCATTAGGAGGAACCAGGTCTCCGGAGAGACCTGGGAAGCTAATTCTAGATCTGGAGAAGGATGGGTCGAAAAATAGCAGGAGCATGTCACAAGGACACAAGTGGCTAAGCACTGACTAGAAAATAGGGAGGGAGCTGGAGTCATAAATCATTTTGAAGCTGTGGGGGTAGTGATTTGGTCAACCAAGAATCATCAATGGATGCTCAAGCAAAGTCATTCTGACGAGGAGCAGGATATTTGATTGTCTTGGAACGTGTCCTAACGTACAACTTATTACAGGAGAAAACAAATATATGGTGGAGAAATAGGGCAATAGCTTGACCATGTGATCAAAATTAATGTCATCACTGAGGGACAGAGGGTCCCCACATGGTCCAGAGGTGACACTCAAGCATCGGAGAGTCTCCTGTTCAGGAATGTGTCACTTTGATCTACGCGTGAGGAAATACCAGATAAGCCCCCAACAGAAACAGTTTGACGAAATAGGTGTGTGAGTGTGCTATATGTTTCAAGATTGGCAGTGTTATAGTCAGGCTCCTAGAGGCAGCTCATGGAATGGTGGTTGTCGGGGACTGTGGGAAGGGGAGAACTGGGGCTCATTTTTTTTAAGATTTATTTATTTATGCATACAAGAACCAGGGTACAGGCCAGATGTGCGGGAGGGTGAGAGGATTCACCAGAGACAGCGGGGGGAACAGAATAGGCAGACTGACTGAAATCCACTGCTGAGGGGAACAGCGGGCGAGACAGGACGGATCTGCCTCACCATGTGGGTAGCTCCCCGGCTGGCTGGGATTGAACCCGCACTGCGGAGACTGCGGACAGCTTCACAGTGCTGCGCTCAACCCCCTGCACCACCAGGGAGGCCCCCGGGGCTTATGTTTAATGTTGAATTTGCCTACACTGTGTACCCCCAAAAACTGAGGGATAAAATGTTGGGGCTGGTGATTGCAAAATCCATTTTATTTCTACTCTATTGGTGCTGCTAAAATTCATGCCAAATCAACATTCATTGTGTAGTCTATAGTCTTTAGGGGAGGAGGCGAAGGGGGCAAGAGAAGACAAGGACAAGATTCTTCTGCCTTAAGACCTTCAGGTAGTGAGCACCACCGTCTCACCACCTGTGAGAATGTGAGTTTATCTGATCTCCTGCTGCCTTTCTGGAGAACCAGCGTTCGAGAAAAAGGAGACACATCACAGAGCTCGTTGCAAATGAGAACCTCCTCTTTATTCTACAAATAGAAGGGGGTTTCTGGAATGGGTGGGGAAAGGACTTTGGCCTACCCCTACCGAGGGATAAAGGTCTAGAGTCTGGTGACCAGGCCTTTCTCCAATGAGTCCTGACCGCCAATGGGTCTCAAATTAGGGAGCAGGAGTAATGATGTGGGGCATTTCCTTGGTGAGGTGAGTATCAGCTTGAGGCAGACTCTTCCAGGCCAGTTCTAAGAACCCATAGTGGGCAATGCCCATGGGGAGGAGGGCATGCACATTGTTCTGCTCTGGGAGAGACACCACCTCCTGGAATGCCAGAGGCCCTCTGGGGGCGTGAGAACGCCCACAGTACAGGCGGTAGAACAGCCGTTCCCCGGGGACCAGCTGCACCGCCTCTAGGCCCGCTATGTCAGTGGTCTCTCGGGCCTGGGGTTCTTCTCCCAGGAGCAACTCCTGCAGCAGCCTCTGGACTCGGGGGGACTTCAGTTGGTACAGGTCCATGAGCTGGTGGAACTGTTCCATCCAGCCAGCGCTGTCCTTGGCGTACTGCTGCTGCAGCATCCGCAAGACGTAGTACAACGCCACGAAGGTCTCCCATGGCGGCACTGCTTCCTTTTGTTTAGAGGCGGGCTGTGCTGACTTCCCCAACTTGGGTAATCTGGAAAACCTGCCCTTATCCTTAAAAGCCCAGAAGTCCTTCTGAAACATCAGGGCCAAGGTTTGCTTTTCCACGGAAGCACGTGTGTCTGTAAAAACGTGTCTCACCGCAGGCCCAAAATAGCGCCTCTCCATCTCCTGGAGGGCGTGGGACCTCTGCTGGGCCCGCGCGCTCCTGTAAGGCTCACCTAGGAGATGCCAGTTGATAGCCTTCATGTCTGGAAGCCTCTTGGTCACTGGTGGGAACTTTAGGGTGGGGTCAGCCAAAGGTTTGTGCCAGCTCTCCCTTTCCTTCCCTTTTATAGGGGGGATCACTTTCTGGTATTTTGGCACCATGGGCTCCTGGGGTTTTAACATAGCTGTGTGCTGGGACTCCAGGCCCTGCCTGTGCCGGTGCACGATGGTGTCCAGGAGGGCCAGTTGCGTCCACTTTAGGTTTCCCTTTGAGGTGAGGTCTTTGAGAACCTGGCACAACCTGTGGAAACTATTCCTGGAGAGCTGTTCTCCTGCCACCATCCGTTCTAGGACACGGTGGATCCACTCGACATCTGACAGGCTGACCTCTGCTTTCATCCTCTCGGCCATGATATGAGGCAGTTGTGCCTTAGTCATGTCCGCCAGAGATGGGCGATGCTGCCTAATCCACCCCCACTTGGTCTCTAGTTGTTTGCCTTTGAGTGTCTGATCTTCCATGATCTTCCTCAATAGGTGGGACACGTACGGAGTCTGCATGTCCAGTTCGAGAGCTTCCACGTCTATGTCATGTTCTGCTGGGGGCTTCTCTACCTTCAGCAGTGCTTGTTGATCCATCAGCTTTGTCTCTGGGAATGCCCCGGATGCCTCAAGTGCTGTGGCCTTGAACTCCCCGCTTCTTTGTTTCATAGACATGAGCTCTGGAATCTTCTCTTCCTTCCCCAGAGTTATGGAGACCCGTTTCTTGAAAGGGCCTTTCAGCTCTCTGGGAGGAAACTGCAGCTCTCCCAGTTTTGTGGCACGGTCCATGAGCTCAGGGGTTCTTTTTCCAATAGAAGGGAGCACTTCTTCTTCCATGACATCCTTTTTCCCTTTTAACTTAACTGGTTTTTCTAATTTCAAGAATGTTTTTTCCTTGCCCAGCCTTTCTTCCAGCAAGCGTCTCTCTTTCGCTGCTTTCTCACCCAGACTTTTCATCCTCTCCTCCTCCTCCTCTTCCTCCTCCTCCTCTTCCTCCTCCTCCTCCAACACGTCCTCCTCTTCCTCCTCCTCCTGTCCCTTCCGTGTCTTCCTCCTCCTCCGCTTCCTCCTCCCCCGCACGTCCTCCCCCACCTCCCGCATCTTCTCAGGCACAACTTCCAGCCCCGTTACCTCACCCTCAACCTTCTCTTCCCCCTCTTCCTCCTCCTCCTTTTCCTCCTCTTCCTCCTCCTTTACCTTCCGTGTCTTCCTCCTCCTCCGCTTCCTCCTCCCCAGCACGTCCTCCCCCACCTCCCGCATCTCCTCGGGCACACCTTCCAGCCCCGTTACCTCACCCACAACCCTCTCCTCCCCCTCTCGCTCCTCCTCCTCCTCCTCTTCCTCCTCCTCCTCTTCCTCCTCCTCCTCCTCCAACACGTCCTTCTCTTCCTCCTTTACCTTCCGTGTCTTCCTCCTCCTCCGCTTCCTCCTCCCCCGCACGTCCTCCCCCACCTCCCGCATCTCCTCGGGCACAACTTCCAGCCCTGTTACCTCACCCACAACCCTCTCCTCCCCCTCTCCCTCCTCCTCCTCCTTTTCCTCCTCCTCTTCCTCCTCTTCCTCCTCCTCCTCCTCCTCCTCTTCCTCCTCCTCCTCTCCCTCCTCCTCCTCCTCCTCTTCCACTTCTTCCTCCTCAGGCAGAGTCTCTTGCTCCAGCTTATCTAACATAACTTCAAGTTTCCTCGTAAAAGTCTCTTCAGTTTCCAAGTCATCTGCTAGACTCAGATGTGGAGACTCTCTCTGTGACGTGTCACCGCTCTTTGGCTTTTTGCTCTCTCTTGACTTTGGCTTCAGGGATGGGATCGCCGCTTCATCCTCTGTTAATTCTTCTGCTTCTGACAGGATTTCTTGTTGTTTTTTTGCTAACCTGCTTTCTTCTTCCATCAGTTGTTTCTCTTTCTCAGTCAAACTTACCATTTGCTTGGCCAACTTTCTCTGCTTCTTAGCCAGCTTTTTCTCTTCTCTGGTCATTTGTAATTGTTCCTGTGATAGGTCCCACTCTTTGCTATCAAGTGTTTTCTGTAACTTGCTCAATTTCCTTTCCTTAATGTGGAGTAACCTCTTTACCTTCGCCAACTGCAGGCCTTGCTGGGCTAGGGCCCTCTCTTCTCTGGTAAGTTTTTGAAGTGCCTTTAATATTTTCCTCCTTCCTTTTGGTCCCCTGGAAATGTCCCTGCCATCTCTAGCGGACTTCCTTATCACTTTGGCTAGCTTCCTTTCTTCCTGGACATATACTCTCTTTCTTCTAGTGCTTTCCATTTCTTCCTTGGCTACATCCCTTTGTTCTGTGGCCAGTATCCTATCTTCATATGACAGTATTTTCTCCTGTAGTGTTAATTTCCTCATAGTTTGTTCCAAGTCTTTCTTCACTGCTCTTTGCTTTCCTGAAGTTGCTGGAGTCTCTCCCTCAGACAGAATTTTCCTTTCTGTCACTCTCACCTTTTCCTGGGCCAGTTTCCTGATTTCTGCGGCCATGGCTGTTTGTTCCTGAGCAGCATCCCACTTTTTTGGGCTCACTTTCCCTTCTTGAAACATTACCTTTTCCTCCACGGCGAATCGCAATTTGTCCTGCGCCAGTTTTTGCTGTTTCTCAGCCAGACTTTTCCTGGTTTTGGTCAGTTTTTCCTCTATACCAGTCAGTTTTTCCTTCTTCTGGGAAAGTTTCCTCTTTGCCTCCAGCACATCTTTTTCCAGATGAACCACTTTCTCCTCACACACGCTCAATTTCTTCTTCACTTGGGCTAATTTCTGTTTGTCCTGGGCTATGTTTTCTTTGACCTGCAACAACTCCCGTTTCCTCCGAGCCAGTTGTGCCCTCATCAGAGCCAAGTTCTCCTTCTCCTGAGCTATGGCCATCCTCCTCCGGAATAGTGCCCTCTTGTCCTCTGTGAGTTTCTCCTTGCTCTGGGCCAATAATTCCCTTTCCTCGGCTGCTTTTCTCTTTTTCTCCATCAACTGCTCCCTTTTCTGGGCCAGTCTTTTCTCTTCCTCAGGTGATTTTTCCATGTCTTGGGCCATTCTTGTCTCTTCCTGGATCAACAGGTCTTCTTCCAGGGCCTGCTTCTTTTCTTCCTTAGTCAGTTTCTCCTCTTGCCAGCCCAGTGTCCTCTCTTCCTCACTCAGTGCCTCTTCTTCCATATCCAGTTCCTTTTCTTCCATGTTTAGATCCTCTTCTTTCCTGGCAATTTCCTCTTCTTCCCATAATATTTCTTCCAATTCCTGGGCTAGGTCTTTTTCTTGACATGCCAAATCTTGCTCCTTCTGGGTCAGTTTTTCCAACTTCTGGGTCAATGTCACTTTTAACCCAGCTAGCTTCCCTTCTTTTCTGGCTATGGCCTCTTCTCCTTCAGCCACTTTCTCCCATTTCTTGGACAATGACTTATTCTCGCGGGCCAGTTGTTCTGCTTCCCGGCTTAGGTTCTCCTCAGATGTGGCCAGTATTCCCTCTTTCTGGAGAAACTTCCACTCAGTCTCGGTCATTCTTCTTTCACTCTGGGCCGTTTTCTCATATTCTGTGACCAGTTTCCTCTCTTCATGGGCCAGCTCTCTCTCTGTTTGCGCTAGCATCACTTCTTCTTGTGCCAGCTTCCTCTCTTCTTGGGCTTGTTTTCTTTCCAGGTGTGCTTGTTTCCACTTCTCCTGTGCCTGTTTACGTTCCTCCTCGCCTTCTCCCACCAGCATTTCATCTTCCACCCACACCTGAGACAATTCTTCCTCCAGGGGCAGCGGTTCCTCACCCTCTAACGCTTCCTCCTCACCCTCTAACGCTTCCTCCTCACCCTCTAACGCTTCCTCCTCACCCTCTGATGCTTCCTCCTCACCCTCTAACGCTTCCTCCTCACCCTCTAACGCTTCCTCCTCACCCTCCATCAGTTTCTTCTCATCCTCTAATACTTTCTCCTTGGACCTCGACAATATCTCTTCCCAGACATAGGCCCACTCATCCCAGCTCAGCATCCCCTCAGCGTCAGGTGGCATTTCGTCCTCCGGGGATGGCTCTTCTTGGTCCTTGTATGCGCCCTCTTCTTTCTCAAGGACCCTCTTTCTCCACTCTTTCTTCCATTTCTCCCAGGGTATTTTTAACTCACTGCGGATCTTTTTCCACTCCTCCAAGGTCTCCCTCCACTTCTCCCAAGACAGCTTCCTCTTCCGAGATGGTTTTTCTTCTTGCTCAATCACTTTCTCCTCTACTTCGGCCACTTCCCCCTCTTTCTGATCGACCACTTCCCCCTCTTTCTCACCAGCCACTTCCCCCTCTTTCTCACCAGCCACTTCCTCCTCTTTCTCACCAGCCACTTCCCCCTCTTCCTGACTTTTGGCTGTCTTTTCTCTGGGCCTTTTCTTCATTTTTTTATCTATTTTCATCTCCTGCATCCCTTGCCTAGTGGGCTTCTTAGAGGCTTTCTTCTCCCTCTTCAATCTTTTTTCCTTGCTGAGGTCTCCTGGTTCTAAAAAAATAACTTTCTTTTTCTTTCCTTTTTTGGGAATCACCTGGGTTTCTGTCAAGTCTGTCTGCACTTCTTGCTCTTCCTCCTCTGACTTCTCTTCCTTGTCTGTGATCACCAATTCCTCTCTAATTGCTCCTTCCTGAATAAAAACTGGTTTCTCCTCTGGCCAGGCTATCTCCCAGTCAAGGATCTCAGACTCTTCACTCTCTTTCTTCAACAGGGGGCAGATCTCCTGAAAGAGCTCCCAGCTAGGATGCCGATCGCCCAGAACCTCCTTAGCCCTGGTAATGAGCTCGTCGGTTAGAGCGTCTGACATTTTTGTTTGGGAACCAGATATCCTTAAGGTCATGAGACGACACAGGTCATCCCGCCATTTTAAGATCTCTCCACGGATGGCCCTGGAGCCTGGCACGCCAGCAGCGCCTCGCCCACTGACTTGCTTCTTCACAAATGTTTCTACCTTTTCAGGCTCCTGAGGTTGCTCAGGTGTAATTTCAGCACTTTTTGTCTTTTTGAGCCTCTTTATGGGTTTCTGAGCTGTTTTTTTCTTCCCTTTTTTGTCACGTACTTTCTTCTGTGTCTTTGGGGCCAATATACCAGTTGAAGCACTTTTCTCTGCTTCGCCATCTTTTGTGATGAGAATTGAGGGCCTTTTGGAGAGATGGACTATCTCTGGCACCTCAGTGGCTAAAGCCTCCTTCTGGTCACTTTCCCCCTCTGAGGAAACTGGCTTCGAGGGACCTGGCTCTTGGCCAGTCTCTTTTACCTTCTTGAGTCCCCGCAACAATTTTCGGGCTGGTGGGAAAAATCAGGAGATGCACATAAGGAAAGCATGGGAGGCTTTAGTGGGACCCTTCCTAGCATCTGCTGTGAGTTTCGAGGAACTGCTATAAAAGAAGCAGCAACAGAGGGGGCTGAAAAGTGGCTGAGGCCTTGAAAAATAAAAAAGGCATTCTCCTTGCTTTATCCCTAGTATTCTCCTTCCACCCCCAACACCCCCCCCCCCAAATCCTACAGAATAGGCCTTGGAGTCAGCCTGAGTTGGGGCGCTCTTTTCTATGAAATGGTCTTTCTACTAATCTCTATGCCTACTTGATATCTTTTGATCCACCTTAGTCCTAAAGCACCCTGCAGGGTGGGGTGGGGGGCGCCCTGAGACGTGCCCTGATCACCCCATACGTACTATGTTTCTTCCCCCCTGCCCGGCCCCGCTTTTGGCCTTTGCTGGGCTTCACTGCCACTTGGCGGTCTTTGGCAGCTACGGCAACATCCGAGAGTGCACGGTCTACGACAATGGACAAAGAAAATGCAGGCTTCTTGTCTTCACGTGACAAGGTCAGGTTTTCGTTCAGTCGCTGTTCCACTTGAGTGGACAGGATTTGGAGATCTGTGGCCCGCATCCCCAGCAGACTGTCTAGAGCTTTCTCCCCGACCATTTCCTGCCTGTGAAAGCCAAAGGAGAGGCGGGATCAAGCTGCGTGGGGGCGAGAGAGAGGATGAGGAGGGAGGGACTGCCGTGGAGCGGGCAGGGGCAGGCGCGGGGCAGAGTGGCCGGCAGAGGCGGCGTGGGCAGCGGCGAGGCACAGCCGAGAAAGAAAACGTCTAGGAAGCAAAAAGGCCAATGAATGGAGTGACCTGTATGGGGGCGGCATGGGCAGGAGATGAGGATGAAGAGGGGAACGTGAAGAAGCGGGGGGCAGGCAGGAAGAGCAGGGGTGGAGAAAGGTGTGAGCCGTTGGGAATTGTCAGAACCGTCTCTCGGGAAGAGGCCAGGGATGAGGGGACAAAAGGACAGGAAAGGCTTGTGAACAGGGATGAAGAGAGAGCAAAGGAAGGGACGCGGAAAGAGGGACAGGGCAGGAGAAAAGCAGAAGTTAGTCAAGAGAACTCACTGCATCTCCCGGAAGGTATCTCGGCTCTGGATCAGCTTTAAGAGTGAGGCCTTCGAGTGGATGCCAGTGTTGGGCATCAGGCTCAGGACCTTCTCCCTCACTCTTTGGTCCTTGTCCATCAGTCCTTGGGCCAGAGGCATGGCGAAGAGATGGGTAATAATGCCGAGCCGCTTCAGCCCTTCCCAGGCGAGCTCTCGGATCAGCGGGTTGGAATTGGTGGTGTCATCCAGCAGCCGATGGGCAGCTTCAGAGCGCACGGGTGGGGGCACCTCGTAAGAGGCAAAGATCTGCCCCAGCGCGCCGATACAGCACTGGTACTTCAGGGGAACGGCGTGGATCATAATGTTGAGGATCGTCTCGATCATGCTGCAGATAGCGATCTCACTCATCTTCTTGCCCAGCCAGCTGCGGTTGGCTGCGTTGGTAAGGACGCTGTAGGTCATATCCTTGGACACTCTCTGTTCCAGAAAATGTTTGCTCTCCCTTTCCGGTTCGTGTTCTTTGATCTCAACTATAGGTTTCACCCTCCCGTGCCAGAAGAAGAGTTGGGATCTCTCCCACTCCATTTGCCGCGTGGGTGAGTGGAGGCTGCACTGCAGGAATATCGGGCTGCCCTCCGGCCAGAGGCGCGCGCGGATCACCGAGTTGGGGATGTAGCAGTCGGGAGCAAAGGGCCAGTCCCGCCCCTGACCGAAGTAGCACCGCAGTATCTGATAGGGGTTGAGTCCGTCCCAGCTACTCAGCTTCAGCTGAGGAGGGGTGACATAATGGTGTTGAGATTTGCTCTCCTGCAGCCAGTCAGTTTCCTCCTTGTTCAAGGAATCGCAGGCGAAAGTGGACAGTATCACGGTGCCCCCCTGCTCGTCTTCCTCTACCACGTGCGGCACAGAGTGGTCAAAGGCAATGGCCCGCTTGTTGACGAGCTTCTGCAGCCCGGCCAGCTCCTGTTTCCCTTTCCCATGGTAGATATACCTGGGCACGAACAGGACCTCAAAAGAGAAGAAGAAGCTCGGCATGAAAGGCTTCGGCATCTCCAGCACATCGTCTATCATGCTCATCAAGGACAGGCGAGACAGCAGTTCTGGCGGGATCAGCCTTAAACAGGACACCAGATAAAAACTCTGGTTGAAAGTCACGAGCAGGTCTCCCCGGTCATTTGCAAAGCAGAGCGGGCCAAAGTGCAGCGACGAGTCCAGCATGGCTATCAGCCTGCCGTGGAAGTTCCAGACCCGGACACTGCCGTCGACGGCACCTGTGACGAAAAGACTCAAGGGCAGGCAGACGTCGAAGGACGTGATGGAGCACTGGTGCAGAGGCAGCGTCTCTACGTATGACGAGCCTACTTGTGTCTGCGAGGACATGAAGTCATGGAACTTCCAGAGCCGCAGGCAGTTAGATTCTGTGATGGCGCCCACAGACTTGGGCAAGAGTTTTAAGTGTTTCAGGTGACAGCTGCTGAAAATGCTGGCGAGGGGCCGCAGATGTACACCGATGCCCTCCAGCACGGCTTCTGAGAGGTGCACATAGTCATCCATTCCATAGGAACAGAGCAGCGTATCTCCGTGGCCTCCAGAAACCCATCTGGGCAGGGTGCAGAGCGCCAGCACGGCGCCGAAGTGCAAGCATTTCTCTATCCGGGCACAGCTGTGCTGGGACAGCACTCTTATCACGCCGCTCTGGTGCCCAGCAAACATGAGCCCTTCCAGGCCCCGGCCGAGGTGGAAATGCCCATAGGCCAGGCACTGGACCTGGTCCTGCGGGTCTGCTGTGGTGCATAAGAGATACTTCGCTGGGCACGGGCAGCGGGTAGTGTCGAACACCAGCACCTCGGTGCTGCCGGTGGCCACAAAGAGCTCCTCCTTTTCTGGGTCATAGGCCCAATCCACAGCTCTGTCCAGGATCGAGTAGGGCCAGGTGACCACCAGCAGCTCCCCGGTCACTGGTGACACAAACCGCAGCAAGCCGTCGTCGGTGACGCACAGGATCCGGAACCAGTTGTGACCGCAGTGGACCCGACGCACCTCCTGGGGAGAGGCGCCACAGACGTTGAAGAGGTTGTAGAAGGAGGGCAGCCGGCGCAGGGAGAAGGAGTGCAGCGTCTGGCAGAAGAAAGTGGTGTTGTCGATGAACCGGAGCCTGAACAGGTGCTCGCCGAGCTCCAGCTGCCGCAGCAGGCTCCCCGAGGTCAGGTTCCACTCCTTGATGATGCCTTCCTTGCCCCCGGTGAGCAGGGTGTGGGCTTCCGGCCGGCTGCGGATGCAGATCACCGACATGGAGTGGGCCTTGAAGCTGTGGAGGGAGAAGCTCTCGCTGAGGCTCCAGGCTTGGATTTCCCCGGCCTCGTTCCCCGCGTACAGAAAGCCCTGGTCAAAACAGACGAAGCAGCAGGTGACAGGAGAGCCAGAGGTGGTGCTCGTGAACCTTTTCACCTCGGCCAGCCGGCCGTAGCCCTGGCGCTCCAGGACCCTCACCGTCGTCTCACACAGGGCCAGGAGGGCGCCGTTAGGGCCATTCAAGCTGATGTCCTGGATGAGTTCGTCACTAGTCATGGTCACCGTATGGGCTATCTGGAGGCCCCAGCCACTCCGCTCGATGAACCAGGTGACCACGGCCCCCAGGATGCCTGAGAGAAGCATCTGCATTTCTGGGTCATAGCAGAGGCAGCTGATGTTGAAGCGGCAGGGCACTACGCTCAGGGGCTTGAATGCCCGGAAGTGGTCCCCAAACAGCCGCAGGATCATGTCACCACAGTAGGCCACAAGGATGTGGAATGAGCCCGTGTGGACCATGGACTGGATGGGCGGCAGCCGCTCCGCCATGGAGAATGTCTTCTTCTCAACTATGTCGTCACCTTTGTTCTTGCTCCATACTACAGCCTGGAAGAGAAGACAGGAAGCTGCCCAGCACAGTTGAAGAGGCAGGGGCAGATATCCAGCTGCTGCCCGCTGTGGTGCTGAAGAGGACCTGGAAGACTCTAGAGTGAGCTTAACCCTGGTTGTGGTGGTTGGAGATACTATAGAAGCAGGAAGCCTAGGGCTCTTTCCCTAGCCTTGGCCCACCTTAGGGAAGCCCTAAGTTCTGCTCAACATGGAGACGGTAGGTGGAGAAAGGCTGGGGGAGGTGGGGAATCCTGGATCCAGGTTTACTTTTATTCAAGGGGTATATATTTTATTTAGGACACCCTGTTTGGCCTGTTTGTTTTTTTTTTTTTTTTTTAAGGATTTATTTGTTTATGCATACAAGGACTGGGGTACAGTCCAGAGGTATGGGGGGTGGTGGTGAGTGGATTCACCAGAGACGGAGTGGGGAGCAGAACAGGAGGATCTACTGAAATATACTGCTGAGGGGAGCAGCGGGCAAGTCAGGAGAGGTCTGCAGCGCCATGTGGGTAGCTCCCTGGCCGGGGATTGAACTCATGCTGCAGTGGCTGGTGATAGCTTCATAGTGCTGCATCTTAACCCCTTGCGCCACCAGGGAGGGCCCTCAAGGGGTGAGCGCTTCTGTGGGCACTGTCCTTGTCATATGGGCTAAGCAGGAGAAGAAAGACTAGGCAGTTTTACCTGTACTTCTTTAACATTTGTCGTCACCCAAGAAAAGGAGACGAAGAAGTGGGTATCACTCAAGTAATAGCATATGAGCGGCATGTTGTGAGGATAGCGAGACTCTTTGAACAGTATCACGGAGCGGTCACTCAGCACGACGATGTCGCTCTTTGAGTCCTTTCTTGTGGTCTGGGAAGAGGCATGGCACAAACTTAGAGGCCAGGACATATGTTCTCACACCAGGCACCCACGGAAGCGTTTCCCAGTTGTGTCTGGACCCCGAAGAACACCCACTTATTATCTGTGACACCTACACTTAGTCACAAGACCACCCACACTGGAGAGAGCTAATTCCCCACAGGGCCTACAAAAACAAATTTTATAGTGTGAGCACAGGGGCAAACTGATGTTCTTTACAACCTGAGGTTTGTGTCCCTCTAACATTCTCCCTCGTGTCAGAAGTGCAGATGTCACAAAACACACGATTAGCAAATGACCCAGGCAAATGTATCACGTGTCCCCCACATGTGATGTAACAAAGTGTCCCAAGGATCAGTGTGGTTTTAAGTCATTAAAACCAAGTAAGATGTTTAGGACACCCTGTTTGGCCTTTTTTTTTTTTTTTTTTTAAAGATTTATTTATTTATGCATACAAAGAACTGGAGTACAGGCCAGGGAGGGGGAAATGAGAGGATTCACCAGAGACAGAGTGGGGAGCAGAACAGGCAGATTGACTGAAATACACTGCTGAGGGGAGCAGCGGACGAGACAGGAGAGGTCTGCTGCTGCGCCATGTGGGTAGCTCCCTGGCCGGGGATTGAACTCGGGCTGCAGAGGCTGTGGATAGCTTCACAGTGCTGTGCTTACCCTCTTGTGCTACCAGGGAGCCCCCCTGCTTGGCCTTTAAAGATACAACAGGGGCCTCCCTGGTGGCGCAGGCGGTTGAGCGCCGCATTGTGAAGCTGTCCGCAGCCTCTGCAGCGCGGGCTCCATCCTGGCCGGCCAGGGAGCTACCCACTTGGCGCAGCAGACCTCTCCTGTCTCGCCCGCTGCTCCCCTCAGCAGTGTGTTTCGTCCTTCTGCCTGTTCTGGTCCCCGCTCTGTCTCTGGTGAATCCTCTCACCCTCCTGTGCATCTGGCCTGTACCCCGGTTCTTGTATAAATAAACAAATCTTAAAAAAATAATAATAAAGATACAACAGACACTATCCCGCGGAGCTGGCTCCTGGGGGCCTTTTGCACAGAGGTAACCGCAGCAAAGCTGGGTGGGCAGGTGTTTGCTCGGGTGCCTTGTCTTTCCTCTTTTTAAAAACGCTCTCTTCTTGGGCCTCCCCGTTGGTGCAGTGGTTGAGCGCTGGGTTGCGAAGCTGCCCGCAGCCTCTGCAGCGCCGGTTCGATCCCCTGCTGCTCCCCGGCCACCGGAGGAGGGTCCGACATGGCTCGCAGACCTCCCCTGCTGCCCGCTGCTCCCCTCAGCAGTGTACCTTCTGCCTGCTCTGCTCCCCGCTCTGGCTCTGGTGAATTCTCTCACCCTCCCGCGCTTCTGACTGTACCCAGTGCTTGTATAAATAAATTAATTAATTAAAAAAATAAAATAAAAACGCTCTCTTCTTAAAAGGTCGGCTCCTCGGATAATGCTCCACAGTGTTCACCTTCTAGTATCAAAATGTCCTTGCAGGAGGTCCCTAGACTCATTTGGAAATTGATGCCGCACTTGCCTCTAAGGTGAGAGTTTTCTTGATGATCTACTCTGCCTGCTTCCCGCGCCCATGGAAAATCTGGGGCTCCTCTGAAGTGCTTATAACTGCAAGACAGAGGCCAGTGGTTTGTTTCTATCTTACACATACGTTACCTTGCTTTTATCTATCAAATCATTTAGGAGGGGTTTAAAATCCTTCCAATGGGGAATGAGTCGGGGGACAGACATCACTTGGATTATCCTTTCAGCTTCTTCACAACCGTGGCTTAAGAACCTGTGGGGATCCAAAAGAGGCCAGCTTAGCCAGGACTGCTTTTTGAGGAGCTAGGAATCAGAAGACAAGATCCACGAACTTAGGGTTTCTGAATACTTTTTGAGCCTCACGGACTATTTATAAGACACACCTTCTCATTTAGTCCTCCTTGCAGCCCGCAGCGGTAGCGATTACTACATTTTACAGATGAGGAAAGTGAGGCTGGGAGAGGGTAAACAAAGGAGCCAGAGGTTGAATCTTAACTCAGTAGGGTTATGGGAGAGGGAGGCAGAGAAACCCAGAGAAGAATGCCAACTCGAGCAAATAATCATTCTTTGGTGGTGGTGATAGATGGAGGCTGTTTTGTGATTACTAAGGATTCCCAAGGCATGGCCCTTTGATCTCCTGCACCAGGATTCCTGGGGGTTGGGGCACCTTTAAAATGCAGATTCCTAGGCCCTCTCCTAGACCTATTGAACACCAATCATGGATCTGCTGAAGCCCCACTGTGGAGGTGGTGTACAGGGACCTTAATTGTTCACACACTTCTAGGTGGTTCTGTGGACAGTCAAGTCTGACTGCTGAAGCAGGAAATTGAGAAGGGGTGTCCAGCTAGCAGAAGTGGAGAGAGGATGCAGCCACCGTTCGGCCTTTCCCAGACTGGCGGAATTCAAGGAGCTCTCTTACCTGGGACGTGTCTGGTAAGATCAACATCCTCTTCTCCATCCCCTTCTCTGGTTTTCATGAGGACACATGTCTACTCTTCCCGGATGCGTCATGAATAAATCCTGCTTTTAACAAAGCTCTCTGTCAGGGACTCTGTCATTACTGGCCTGACAGTGAACTTGTTTTCCTCATTTATTAGACGAGGAGACAGAAAAAATACCAGTCTTCCCTATTTCACAAGGTTGTTGCAAAGATCAGGTAAGATAATTCACGTGAATGACCTTTCAAGCTTACTGTGAGGCAGCAGTTATGGCTCCTGTTTTTAGGCTGACTTGGTTCTCAGAAAAACAATGGCTATTACTTCCTTTCACAAACCACATTTTGTATGACCAGTTGCCCTAAAAACATGACCCCTGAATTTATAGTCTGGCCAGCAGGGGGCAGTGGAAGCCATCCTTACGCCTGCTAATTGAAGAAAACGGGATGAGATTTCAGTTTAACGCAGTGCCCAAGGTGTGATTCCCACACCAGCAGTATCAGCATCACCTGAGAACTGGTTAGAAATGCAAATTATCGAGCCCCACTCCAAACCTCCTGATTTGGAAACTCAGGGTTGCGCCCCCCCAATTAAGTTATAAGAAGCTCTTCAACTGATTTTATGCATATTAAAGTTTGCAAACTGCTGGTTTGAAGAGCTGGTGGATCCCCAGGTCAGTTTTGCCTCACCTTCTGAGGCAAGGCCAGTAGATCCCACCCTCTGGTGTGGCTAAGCCTTGGCCCTCGTTGCCACAGATTTGATGGCTGGATTTGGGGAGCAGGGTGGGGTCAGGGAACGGGAAGCAGCAGGTAAAACTTATCTCACATGTGTAGAGTGGGTTAGAATGCGCGCGCGCACACACACACACAAGCTTTCACATCAATCCCTTCATTAGTTCTGGAAAAACTGTGAGAGGCAGGTATGACCATGTCCACCTTATATATATGAACATGATTTCAGAGAGGAACAGGGCTGTGTGCAGAGTTTACAGGGCTGATTAAAATTAGGTTCCAATCCACAGTTCAGGATTCTTCTGCCTTCTAAGAGGTGGTGGAGGGTCTGCCTGCCTATGCTGAGGACACACTCTGGCCCACACACCCACACACATGGGACGTGGGGAATGGCTTTCAGACTCCAGCATCTCCTCTGCCTCTTCCCACTCTCCCTGCACCCTGCTTTCCTGCTATGTCTTTCTCCACTGTGTTCCCCTGTAAGACTGCCCTTGCTGTGCCTCAGACCACCTACTGGGAGGATATGACCCCTTGAGAGCCCACGCATCAGTGACGGGCCGGTGGGCCAGTACCCACAGCTCAGACTTACCCTACTGGCTCTCAAATAACTGCTGAGAGAGAACAGTCATTTGTAGCAAATTTGTCACCACTGCCTTCAGTTTCCATTGTCCCTAATATCTCCTCTAGGTCCAACTTCTCTTGACCAGCCTACAAAAAGCAAGTAGTTGGGGTCCTTTGGGCATATTCCTAGGCGGGCTCCTGAGAAAGGTGGCCTTCAAGCCCCAAACCTCTTACTTTTTGCCACTCTTCCACGCCCCCCCCCCAGCTTCCTGGAGTCTCCCCGAGAAGAAAGCGCTCTCCTGAAATATCTCACTTTTGATTCCCTAAAGTCCAGAATGAGCTCTAGATGCCTTAAATCCCAATACTCTTGACTTTAATATCTCGATAACCCAAAGATGATCCAGTGGAATTCGAGTCCTGAAGTTAGGGGAGAGAGTAGTTAGGGGTCAAGAGATGGTATGTTCTGCTGACTGTGGAGACAAACCAGGTCTGTGACTGGGCATTGACACGGGTAACCCACCCTTTTTCTTAGCTGCAGTCCCCTCCAATGTACTGCGACATGGTGGCTGGACAGAAGGGCAGCACCCCATCAGCCTTGCTGTTGTGATAAGGAGAAGTGCCTCTAGGGGGCACTGCACTCCACAATACTATCCGGTTCCTAGGCTCCCTTGGGATCACTCATCGACTCCTTATCCCTTATAAGAGGAGGGCACACAGACAAGGGTCTTGCCCCATAGTTTACATTCTGCAGGGAAAGCAGACACCAAAAAAAAGAATAGTCATCAAATTGATGGCGATGAGAAATATAATTCCTTTAACGTTCCTACAATTTTTAATTTCCTCAAACTTAAATTACAGGCATGCCTTGGAATGCACCTTAGAAATATTGGAGGTTTGGTACCAGGATGCCACAATAAAGCAAAGATCACACTAAAGAGAGTCACGCAAATTTATAGGCTTCAAAGGGCATGTAAAATTTATGTTTACACCAGATTATAATATAGTAAATACGCAACAACATTATGACTGAAAACAATGTATATAGGGCCTCCCGGTGGCGCAGCAGGTTGAGCACAGCACTGTGGAGCTGTCCGCAGCCTCTGCAGCGTGGATTCAATTCCCGGCCGGCCAGGGAGATTCCCACATGGTGTGGCAGACCTCTTCTGTCTCGCCCATTGCTCCCCTCAGCAGTGCTTTCGGTCTCTCTGCCTGTTCTGCTCCCTACTCTGTCTCTGGTGAATCCTCTCACCCTCCTGTGCCTCTGGACTGTACCCCAGCTATTGTATAAATAAAAAATAAATCTTTAAAAAAAAAACACTGTATATACCTTAAATCTAATACAGAGACAGGAAGGGGGCATATGCTGTTGGAAAATGGTGCCCATAGATTTGCTCCATGCAGGATTCCACAAACCTTCAATTTATAAAATCTCTCTACAAAGCGTAGTAAAGTGGGGCACAGTAAAGCAAGAGATGCCTGTAAATTATGCTAGTAATTCAGTATTAAGGAAAGAAAAGTAAAAATTGCTGTGAGCACATTTAATGAGGAGACTTAGCCACCCAAAAGGAGGGTGACATGTTCTCCATACTTGGACGGGGGGATCCGGCATGGATCAGCCTTGCAGGCAGGTCTTACTTTTATGCAGGATGCCCAGCTGGCCTCAGAAGAGTCTAATTAATTGACTGGACAGTCTCAGGGCAGTCTTGGCTTACTGATTTCTGGAAGAAATTATTGGTAAGGAACCAGGGCTGTGGCTAGAATGCACTTGGTTTTCTTTCTGGAAAGAGATGATTTTTTTCCAGAATGACAACCCTACATTATAGGGGTGGGTTAGTTTCTGCAAGTAATCATTGTGTCCAAAACTGATTAGGTTGTAAAATGGTTGTCACGTATTTTACATATATTGTTTAACTGTGACCATGATTCTATTGGTTATCTTCCTCTACTTAATTAAATAATATTTTATTTGTTTTTTTTTTTTAAGATTTATTTTATTTATGCAAGAACCAGGGTACAGGCCAGATGTGCGGGAGGGTGAGAGGATTCACCAGAGACAGAGTGGGGAACAGAAGAGGCAAAATGACCGAAATACACTGCTGAGGGGAGCAGCGGGCAAGTCAGGAGAGGTCTGCCGCACCATATGGGTTGCCCCGCGGCTGGTGGGGATCAAACTGGCACTGCAGAGGCTGCGGACAGCTTCACAGCGCTGCACTCAAATGCCTGCGCCACCAGGGAGCCCCATTAATTAAATAATATTTTAAATGGACATGGTAAAAATATTCAAAACATTAAGGAATATGTAATGAAATTTTCTTTTTATTATTTTTACTGAGTAACGGTTTAAAACACTGTATGATTTAGGGGTATAGGTATGCTTTAGGGGTATAGGCTCACACCCTTTAGATGTATGTTACCACACCATTGCCTCCCACCAAAGCACTGATATATAATGAAATTTCACACCCAACCACCTGTCCTTAAGTTTCTGCTTCACAGGTGACCCTGGAAGTGTCTTCCTACGGGTGTTCTGTACATAAATAAACACTTAAGTAAAACATGTTATTTTTCTTATACAAATGATGGTATTCTATATACTTGTCTGAACCTTTTTTTCACCTAATATGAGATGAACTCTTTCATACAAATAGCTGGCTCATTTTTTGACAGTTGCCAGCTGCATGGTACTCCACTGTGGCTGGGCTATTGAATTATTCCAAAGATCTACTCATGGGCACTGGGTAATTTCCAACCTTTTACGATGACCACCCACGCCACAAATACCTTTGTTAGTATCTGAGTTTTAACTCAAAAAATAAAACGGAAGCAATGTCTTTTTCATTGGGTTTCGTTATTAAAGTTTTCATCCGTTTCGTTCCAATGTGAAATTTAAAATTGCACGTGGCTTCCATTATATTCTATTAGCTAGGACTGCTTTCGATGTCACTCTCCGGTGGTGTCTGACACCCCCACTGCGCTTAACTCCTTGAGGGTAGGGGCCCAGTTTACTCTTGATTTCTCCTGTGTCCCCACTATCAGCCAACCTGGCGTGCAGAAGGTGCTTGATACGTTTTTGGTGAAGGAATGAGCAAATGGGTGACCTCTGCCCTCTCCCAGGAAGAAGCTTCCCAGCTTCTTCTTGCAAGAATGAGGTGGGAAGGGCATTAACTGGGGCTTCCTGACCAGAGCACGTGCAATTCCAGCCAATTCCCTCGGTAAACTCTATGGAGTAGGAGTGACAACATCCGCTCTTTGAAAAAAAAAAGGGGGGGGGTCGGATCCGTGGTTACATCAGCAGATGGACTAAATTCGGACAAAATTTCCGAGGTTGCTGGGACTCCACTACCCTACTACCCCCAGCAGGTGCGATCAACGAGGACCACCCCTGCGAGGCGGCCCTGAGACTCCCGTCAACAGCAGAGCTCGGGCGCCGCCGAGGCGGGACAGGGGCGCCCAGACCCGGCGGCTGCACCCCGGGGGCGTCAGGGTCTCCCGGGGGGCGGCGAGGAGGGCGTGCCCGCCTCTGAAGGCGTGGATCGCGCCCTTACCTGCGGCAACGGGCTCCTTTCTGGCCAGGGACGGGTGCGGCGCGTGGGGCGGCACCCGAGCGCCCCTGGGCGGAGGATCCGACCTAGAAGCAGCGTCTGAGGGGCGACCCCGGGGAGGCGGCGGGAGGGCCCGGCCCCAGAGCGGTTAGCGCCCGACCCGGCGCCGGTCCGGCCGAGGGAGCGAGGGGAGCGAGGGGAGCGAGCGCGCGTGCGCACTGGCGCGCGCCCGGCAGGAGCAAGCCCAGCGCGAGACCCCGCGCGCGCGCGTTCGAAAGGAAAAAAAGTCTTCCCCGTGGGGGCCCGCGGCGGCTCAGGCCCGCGCTGGCCGGCGAGCGCGCGTGCGCGAGCGCGCACGGACGCCCTCCGCCGCCGCCGCTCCCCTCGGTCGGGGGTCTGGCGCGCTGCTCCGCGGCCCCCGCCGCTCCCGAGGCGCGTGCCCTCGGGGTAAGTACCTCGCGCCTCACGCAGAGGGGGGGGTGAGGGGCTGCGGAAGGAAGGGAGGAGGGAGACCGGGCTGGAAGACGGGGAAAAACCTCCCTGGCGGAGCGAGGAGCGCGGCTCCCGGGTTCGAGTCAGCACAAGACACACCTCCATCCCTCACGCCCCTCAGGGCTGCGGAAGTGCGCTGGAGCCCGGAGCGGCAGGGGAGGCGACAGGTGGACTACCATTCCCAGAAGGCCGCGCGGCCCTGCGCCTACTGCTCCCGGCAGCACCTGCGCGCCAGGCTCTTTTCAGTTTGCTGCCGCCTAGGGTGAAACTACAGTGCCCAGGAGGCCTCGCGCGAAGCGGCTTGGAAGTGGGCAGCCTGGAAGTCACTCGGGCCACCGGAGCTGGCGGCGTCTCCAGCGAGAGGCGCGGGGCCGGACGCCGCGATCGCGGGGCCCTCGGGGAGGGCAGCCGGGGCGCCCAGGTATGTGGCTCCGGGTGCAGGGGCGGCCTCGAGCCAGGGCGGCGGGGAATCGGTGTCCACTGGGATCCCGACGGTCAGCACGGGCGGCCAGCCGGGTGTAGCAGCAGTTGTGGGGGGCGGCGGCGCCGGGACTCGCGCTGTCCGGACCTGACCGGACTCGTGCCCACATGGCTCAACTTTCCAGGCGGGGAACGCCGCGCTGTGCCGAGAGCATGGTGTGGGAGTCGGGTGGCTGTGGGTTCGCGTCCTGCCTCTGCCACTACAGAGCGGAGCTCTGGGGTAACCGCGCCGAATCTCTGGGTAAAAAGGGGGAAGAAGAGTATTTCTCTTTGGCCGGGATTCTGTCGCGATTCGGCAAAGAAAGCATTTGGCACATGGAAGGCACTTGTTACGTGTTTGCGCTATTGTTAGCTGCTGGGAAATGGAGTGAAGGTATTAGCTGCTGCATAGGGTTAGTTGAACGTGTGCTTGCAGAGGTCCGAGTCCGTAGTTGGCACTCAATGCAGGATTGCTGCTCTTACCTAAAATTATTTTATGAAGGCTTTGGTTTGGGAGGCAGAGAGACTCTGGTTCAAATTTAGGCTCAGCCATTCACCAGCTGTGTGACCTTGGGCAGCTGATTTCACTTCTCTGTGTCCAGGTTTTCCTATCCATAGAACAGGGATTTCAGTGGTAGCCCCTTCGTTGAGTTATTGTGAGGTTGCAACGAGAAAGCCATGTGTGTAAAGTGCTTAGAGCAGCAGTGGGCACTTAGCGTTCGGTAAATGGTATCCAGCGTTTTCCCAGCTGCCTGGAGACCCTCTGAGGGCGGTGCTCTGGCTGAGGTCCGCCTGCATCTACCTCGTGGGCCAGGCTCAAAAGTGGTTCAGTTCACTTCCGCTTCTTGCACCCTCGGGTTCCTCATTGGTACAATCGGATAACAGTATCAGCTTCAGAAGGTTTCTAAGGATTTGCTGAGATTGTATTCCTAGTCCAGAGCCATATCTCACTAAGTAACAGCTCTTGTGTATTATAATTGTTCTTCTTTGATGTTCTCCATCTGGCCCAGAGACTGCCTAACTGTGGGCTGTGACATGACAGCCCTGAGCTCCCCCACACGTTCATTCCCAGCCTCAGTGTCCCATCTGTGAAATGGTAGTCATAGGACTTTTGTGCCAGGGTTGTTCTAACGATTCCAAGAGATAATTCACGTTTAGTGTTTAGCATAGGGCCGGGCGCATAGTAAACACTTAATACATGTAGCTTGTTTTTCTTGATACAAGGCCTTTGCTGTTTGTGTTTTTATTTACAGGGCATTTTTACTCCCCAAAGGTAAAATTGCCAAACTTACTGCAGTATAAGGACCTGCGAAGAAATGGGGTTGACTTGCTGTTATCAGCAGCACCCTCCTGGGCCCTCACCTACCCCTCCCTGCCAGCCACTACATTCTCTCCCACGCTTTATGCCCTGGCCCAGTGCTGCTTGCACTTGACTGTCTCAAAGCTCTATTTTCCCCCCTGGACCCCCGCTCTCTCCACTGGTCACTGTCCCATGAACTCAGTATATTCAACATGAACCCCCCTTCTCCTCTCAGACTGTCTTGCCAGATGGGCCAACACGGTCCCTGTTGCTTAAGCCAGAAACTTGGGAGTTGCTCTTCACCTCCAGCCTTCCTAGGTCCAGGTGACTGGCGAGAAGGATGAAGCCGCTGTTTGGCTGAAATGTCATTTCATTGGCCGGCCTTGGTCTTCCCGTTTTGCAATGGGGACTGAAAGTCCTACCTTTTCTGACCACGTTTATTTTACATCTCCAAGGAGGAAGGTATGAAAAACAACAATTATATTAGTAAGGGGCAGGGAAGGCAGTGTGGACTTAGCCTGACTGAAATGGCCCCAGGAGTGGCTTAACGGCCTAACTTTCGGGGGACCCATTTCTGCAGTTTTAACCTGGCAGAACTAGGCTGAGTCTTTCATTTCTTCCTGCAAAGTTATACTGTGTCAGCAGGTTATAATAACCCGTATGAGACGGTGGCTCTCTGTCCTCTCAGAAGGCAGCACACGCCCCCAGGAGGAGACTGGCAGGAGAACTGACTAGATCTGTTTAGGTCCAGTCTGTTGTCAGAAACCTGTCATTGTGATTTTGCTTGATCGTGAGAAACCGTGGTTTCAATCGAATTTATGATGGCATTAAATTCACCAAAGCATTTTAATAAAGCAGTGACTTTTAAAAAAATCTTGGTCTTGTTAGTGACAACAGCACGTGGCTTTTTAGCTCTCTGTGGAATGGCCTAAGAGTTGAATGTGAGCCTGTTTTTCAGACACTGCAGTTGTTAGGTGGTAAATCAAAAATGGAATTTAGAGTGTGTGGTGATTGGCGCCTTTTTTATTTTCCTGTACAGCCTATTTTGCTGATGTATTTCAAACTTAGGTTTAAGAAAATGACCTAACCCTCAGCAAGTAGGTTGCAGCAACAGCTTAACCTTGTTGTGTGTTTAACTCACAAAATCTAAATTAAATGTCTTTATGTTTTAATAAGAGAATTAAACGGTCATTTCATTTAAAGTATTTATTTTCAGCTGGTAGAATGAGGCTGTTGGACCAGTCTGTGCTTTCTTTAAGATTGCTACTGCACCTGTGTTTTTTGGGTTTTTTTTTTTTTTTTGGGGGGTCTTGATTTGTGTGTGTGTGAGAATGGGTTGAATTTGGCTTTAAAAAGTCATGCAAAGAGGGCCTCCCCGGTGGCGCAGCGGTTGAGCGTTGGGTTGCGAAGCTGCCCGTGGCCTCTGCGGTGCCGGTTCGATCCCCGGCTGCTCCCCGGCCACCGGAGGAGGGTCCCACATGGCGCGCAGACCTCTCCTGCCTCCCGCTGCTCCCCTCAGCAGTGTACCTCGGTCCTTCTGCCTGCTCTGCTCCCCGCTCTGGCTCTGGTGAATTCTCTTACCCTCCCGCGCTTCTGACTGTACCCAGTGCATGTATAAACAAAACAAACAAATAAATAAATAAATAAAAACATGCCTCTATTAAAAAAAAAAAAAGTCATGCAAAGAAATACAGTCTTATTTGTCATGTCAGATAATACAGAGATACATTAGGCAAATAATAGGTGCTGCTCTCCACATCAGAACCCCAGGCCCATTTATTCAGACAGGGAGTATTGATTAAGTCTCCACTGTCAGGTCTTGCAGCTCCGGAGGTGAACAAAATGGATCTGCTCCTTGACCACTTGGGGAGACGCTCACTTAACCTTTCTCTGGGCCTGTGTGAGTGTGTGTGCTTGTGTCAGTTGTTTTCTTCCTCCTCCTGTGCCCCTCCCCCCAGAAGGAGCCGTGGCTGTCAAACTACACTTTTTAGAACTTGATTTTTTTAATGACAGATAGGCCGTATCACTTCAAGTCATTACATGCAGACCTGACTCACTCTCTTAACAGCTCGACCCACATTCTGCAGCATGGAGAGATCGAGCTTTACCCCACCATTCCCTTTCTGCTGGACATTCAGGGTACTTCTGGGATCTCTTTTACCTTCACCAGCACGCATTCAGCAAGCCTCCTGGTGCATGGGTAGTGTGGCATAGTGACTAAAAGTGTGAGCTCTGGGCAGTGAATGAGAGCCCTTTTCTTCTAGGTTTACATTCTAGCTGGAGAGGCACCTGGTAAACAAAATCATTGCAGGTGGTTTTAAGTGTCATGGGGGAAGTCACGAGTGAGGGATGGAGGGTGGCCGGTGGGCAGGATCATGGAGGGTAAAAGTGGGCACTTCAGCTTGGGTAGTCAGGGAAGTCCTCTCCGAGGGGAAGTGATGTGAGTTGAGTACTGAGTGAGCAAGAGGCACCTACGGGGCCAGGAGCTGGGGGAGGAACATTCTAGGCCAGGGGCACAGCTGGTGTAAACATCCAGAAATGGGTTTGTGTTTGCTCTGAAATCAGTATCACTGTGACTGGAGAAGCGTGAATTCTCATATTTCAAGCTCATTCTACTTTAACTTCTGTAAAATAATAATGATAACACAGCTCAGGCCGACCTGGCACCTCCTCTACCAGGTGTTCTTCTAAGCGCTTCACCCTTTTCCTCAGTTAATCCTCACACGAGGCCAGTGAAGTAGATGGGCTTGCGATACTCACGTGAAAGATGAGGGAGCTGACTCCGGACTCCAGCTTTTCACCCACATGCCAAACGCCCTCTTGTCCCAGGCCCTCTTTAGCAACTTTGGAGTGGATGCAACGTTTTCTGTTTC